AATGTATTGTCAATCAGTGTTGCTTCCTAAGTGGACAGTTTGATTTCACAGAAGTGTGATTGACTTGGAGTTACATTGTGTTGTTTAAGTGTTCCCTTTATTTTTTTGAGCAGTGTATTACTGAGTAACCACTCTCCATATTTTCAAGCACAGTGGTGGCTGCATCATGTTATGGGTATGGTTGTAATCGTTAAGGACTGAGGAATTTTTCATGATAAAAAATAAATGGAATGGAGCTAAGCACAGGCAAAATCCTAGAGGAATACCTGGTTCAATCTGCTTTCCACTAGACATTGGGAGATCAATTTACTTTTCAGCAAGACAATACCCTAAAACACAAGGACAAATCTACACTGGAGTTGCTTACCAAGAAGACAGTGAATGTTCCTGAGTCGCTGAGTTACAGTTTTGACTTAAATCTACTTGAAAATCTATGGCAATACCTGAAAATGTTTGTCTATCAATAATCAACAACCAATACGACAGCTTGAATAATTTTTTATAGAATAATGGGCAAATGTTGCACAATCCACGTGTGGAAAGCTTTTAGAGACTTACCCAGAAATACTCACAGCTGTAATCACTTCCAAAGGTGCTTCTACAAAGTATTGACTCAGTGGTGTGAATACTTATGTAAATAACATTTCTAAAAACATGTTTTCAATCTGTCATTATGGGGTATTTTGTGTAGATGGGTGAGAGAAAAAAAATCTATTTAATCAATTTTGAATTCAGGCTCTATCACAACAAAATGTGGAATAAGTCAATGAATACTTTCTGAAGGAACTGTATATACACTGAACAAAAATATGAACGCAACATGTAAAGTTTTGGTCCCATGTTTCATGAGCTGAAATAAAAGATCCCATAAATGTTCCATATGCACATTATTTCTCTCAAATGTTGTGCACAAATTAGTTTACATCCCTGTTAGTGAGCATTTGTCCTTTGCCAAGATAATCCATCCACCTGACAGGTGTGGAATATCAAGAAGCTTATTAAACATCATGATCATTACACAGGTTCACCTTGTGCTGGGGACAATAAAAGGCCACTCTAAAATGTGCAGTTTAGTCACACAACACAATGCCACAGATGTCTCAAGTTTCGAGGGAGCGAACAATTGGCATGCTGACTGCGGGAATGTCCAGCACCAGAGATGTTGCTAGATAATTGAATGTTAATTTCTCTACCATAAGCCACCTCCAACGTTGTTTTATGGAATTCAGCAGTACGTCCAAACGGCCTCATACCGTAGACCACGTGTATGGCGTCGTGTGGGGTTATGGCACGGCCCCATGTCGCAAGGATCTGTACACAATTCCTGGAAGCTGAAATTGACCCATGGCCTGTCACCCATTGAGCATGTTTGGGATGCTCTGGATCGACTTATATGACAGCGTGTTCCAGTTCCCGACAATATCCAGCAACCTCGCACAGCCATTGAAGAGGAGTGGGACAACATTCCATAGGCCACAATCAACAGCCTGATCAACTCTACACGAAGGACGTGTGCTGCGTTGTATGAGGCCGATGGTGATCACACCAGATACTGACTGGTTTTCTGATCCACGCCCCTACCCTTTTACCTTTTTTAGGTATCTGTGACCAACAGATGCATATCTGTATTCCCAGTCATGTGAAATCCATAGATAAGGGCCTAATTAATTAATTTAAATTGACTGATTTCCTTATATGAACTGTAACTCAGTAAAATCTTTGAAATTGTTGCATGTTTGTTTTATATTGTTTCAGTATAGATACAGTGAGGGAATATTGTCCCTGATTTGTATTTGCCATGAAATAGAATTATCAGTCTATAATTTTAATGGTAGTTTATTGAACAGTGGAGACAGAATCAACAAAAAATCCAGAAAATGCTGTCAAAAAGTTATAATTGATTTGCATTGAAGAGGAATAATTTGACCCCCACTAATCAGAAGATTCTGGCTCCAGGTGTCTTATACAGGTAACGAGCTGAGATTAGCACACTCTTAAATGCTCTAATCCTGTTACTTGTAAAAGAACCTGTCCACAGATGTAATCAATCAATCAGATTCCAAACTCTCCACCATGGCCAAGACCAATAGCTCTCCAAGGATGTCAGGGACAAGATTGTAGACCTACACAAGACTGGAATGGGCTACAAGACCATTGGTGCGTTTATTCGCAAATGGAAGAAACACAAAATAACTGTCAATCTCCCTCGGCCTGGGGCTCCATGCAAGATCTCACCTCATGGCATTGCAATAATCATGAGAACGGTGAGGAATCAGCCCAGAACTACACGGGAGGATCTTGTCAATGATCTCAAGGCAGCTGGGACCATAGTCACCAAGAAAACAATTGGTAACACACTACGCCGTGACGGACTGAAATCCTGCAGCGCCCGCAAGGTCCCCCTGCTCAAGAAAGCACATATACAGGCCCGACTGAAGTTTGCCAATGAACGTCTGAATGATTCAGAGGAGAACTGGGTGAAAGTGTTGTGGTCAGATGAGTCCAAAATCGAGCTCTTTGCCATCAACTCAACTCGCCGTGTTTGGAGGAGGAGGAATGCTGCCTATGACCCCAAGAACACCATCCCCACCGTCAAACATGGAGGTGGAAACATTATGCTTTGGAGGTGTTTTTCTGCTAAGGGGACAGGACAACTTCACCGCATCAAAGGGACGATGGACGGGGCCATGTACCGTCAAATCTTGGGTGAGAACCTCCTTCCCTCAGCCAGGGCATTGAAAATGGGTCGTGGATGGGTATTCCAGCATGACAATGACCCAAAACACACGGCCAAGGCAACAAAGGAGTGGCTCAAGAAGAAGCACATTAAGGTCCTGGAGTGGCCTAGCCAGTCTCCAGACCTTAATCCCATAGAAAATTTGTGGAGGGAGCTGAAGGTTCGAGTTGCCAAACGTCAGCCTCGAAACCTGAATGACTTGGAGAAGATCTGCAAAGAGGAGTGGGACAAAATCCCTCCTGAGATGTGTGTAAACCTGGTGGCCAACTACAAGAAATGTCTGACCTCTGTGATTGCCAACAAGGGTTTTGCCACCAAGTACTAAGTCATGTTTTGCAGAGGGGTCAAATACGTATTTCCCTAATTAAAATGCAAATCAATTTATAACATTTTGGACATGCGTTTTTCTGGATTTTTGTTGTTGTTATTCTGTCTCTCACTGTTCAAATAAACATACCATTAAAATTATAGACTGATCATGTCTTTGTCAGTGGGCAAACGTACAAAATCAGCAGGGGATCAAATACTTTTTTCCCTCACTTTAGATGAATGGATGGATGGATAGATGCCAAAATAAAGGTAACACCAACATAAACTGTGTAAATAGGGCCCACCACGAGCCAGAACAGCTTCAATGCACCATGGCATAGATTCTACAAGTGTCTGGAACTCTATTGGAGGGAGGCTACACCATTCTTCCATGAGAAATTCCATAATTTGGTGTTTTTTTGATGGTGGTGGAAAAAACGCTCATCAAACCATTCAGTGACCACTCGTGCCCTGTGGATGGGGGCATTGTCATACCATGGGGGCATAGCCAAAATAATGGCCAAAATAATGGCCTGCCCAGCATTTTTATACACGGCCCTATAAATGAAGGGATGGTAATTGCTTAATTAACTGACTGTATATACAGTGAGGTCCAAAAGTATTTGGACAGTGACACATTTATTGTTGTTTTGATATTTTCATCCATTTCAGTGAACCGTTTAGAAATTACAGCACTTTTTGTACATAGTTCCCCCATTTTAGGGAACCAAAAGTATTTGGACAAATTAACTTATGTGTATTAAAGTAGTCAAAGTTTTAGTATTCGGTCCCATATTCCTAGCAAGCAATGACTACATCAAACTCTACAAACTTGTTGGATTCATTTGCAGTTTGTTTTGGTTGTGTTTCAGATTATTTTGTGCCCAATAGAAATCAATGGTAAATAATACATTGTGTCATTTTTGAGTCACTTCTATTGTAAATAAAAATATAATATGTTTCTGAACACATCTACATTAATGTGGATGCTACCATGATTACGGATAATCCTGAATGAATTGTAAATAATGATGAGAGAGAAGATTACAGAGGCACAAAGATCATACCCTCAAAACATGCTAACCTTACCTCTCACCATTACCAATAAGAGGGGAGGTTAGCATTTTTGGGGGGTATGATATTTATGTCGCTGTAACATTCTCACTCATCATTATTCATGATTCATTCATCATTATCTGCAATCATGGTATCATCCACATTAATGTAGAAGTGTGGAATAGTATGCTGGTGTTTTTGAAATCCCTGACACCAGGGGTACGTGTTTAGTGCCACAGAAAAAGACAATGAGTGCTTGCTTTCATGACGAGCGCCCCAATATGCGCAACCGTGAAATGCGTTTTATGCAAGGATCCTGAGGCCTGTCATCTCCAGGGCCCTATCCCTTGATGTGTACAGTGATATAACATGACGTCATGTCATTGGCAAATTCTTTATATTTGTGAGTCCTCTCAGGTCCTCACTGGAGATCAACCTCCTGCGAAAAAAGAAACATTTATTATATATTCTTTACTTATTTCAAGGAGCGGCAAAGTTGTCTGAGGTGGTGATGCTGACTGATGTAATGTGACAGATTCGGGAGGCCTCCAGGGGAGCCCTTCTCTTCTCTGTTCTCTCCGTGATGCTCATATCACAAGCTGTGTGCTGCTCCAGACGGAGCTTGGCACGTCCCTGACCAATAACGCACTCCATCTCGGACTCTGGGCGCCCAGGACCTGAGGGTACCAGTAACTGCCCATGGCGCTATTCGGACATGCTACCTCACCAGGAAACTGCAGACTTTAGACGGCTATGATTTGGATTTGGAAATGCGATCTTAAATATTTTACAATCTGTACAATCTACAGAGTGGCAGAGCCGAGATTCAAGGATACTTCCTTCACATGGTTAGGAAATAACAGTTGTTGAACTTCCCTTTGGCGCAATTCTGCAATAATACGAAATGCTCTGAGACCACGTTCAATTCTGAGAAGCACCTGTCAATTGCCTAGTGCACATTATCTAATTGGACAAGGATTTGGCAAACTATGGAATTAAGTTGTCAAAGAACAATGTTTCAAACTTGTGAGTTGAGGTTTGGCGTTGGTTCTGTCGTCTCCGATGTGGTAGCCTAAACATCAATGGATACATCAATTTGGAATACAAGTCCCTATTGTCGCGTGTTTCAGGATAAACAATGCTAGTACTACTATTGAGATTACTGTGCTTTTCACTTTGTAGCGAGGTTGTTTTCACTCACATACACGGGGAGAAGACAAAGACACATTTTACTCCTAGACATGAGTATGCCGTCGCTAACGGGAATGTACACAAAACCAATAGTAGCCAGAGCTGGCACTCCGCGTATGGCAGAGTTGTCAACGAAATGGACAGTAAAAGGGTGCATACCTCAACTGCATCGTCTTGGGATGTGGTTAGGTCATGGGTGGATAAAAGGAATGGGACTTCATTTAATATGAAAAGAGTTATGAATGAAAGAACAATAGTGCGCAAAAGCAATTCGTCAAATGGAACCGAATATGTTACGTTACTCGAGGATGAAGAGTCAGAGAGGCGCAAGGTGGAAAAGTTGGACACAGAGAAGCATGCAACCATGGAAACGCGGGATGGTGTATATGGTCATTTAACCCCCTCCATGAGACATAAGCGAGGAGGACACCACCATAACGAGCACAAACGGATCTGCAGACACAAAAGAGGGACTATAGGCCGTCGGAGAAGAAATGTGAAGGATGGCAGTAAAACAGAGAACAAAATAAGTGAGCCAACCATTCTGTCAGATGCGTCTTTGGATGCACTGCTGACCATGTGGGAACCGCTGCCTAAACCTATGGCCCAGAACCAGTCAACAGACTTGCCATTTGATGCCAGTGATTATGAACAGTTCACTTTGCCAGACCTCCAAGACTATACCCCACTAATTCCTCTCAATCCTCAAACAAAGAGAAAATATGTCAAAAACCCCTTTTACCCCATAACAGCAGAATCATATGGGGCATATGCGATCATGATCATTTCAGTCATAATTTTCACTGTTGGAATAATTGGGAATATAGCAATCATGTGCATTGTGTGCCACAACTACTACATGAGAAGTATTTCAAATTCTCTTCTTGCCAATCTCGCCCTTTGGGATTTTGTTATCATCTTTTTCTGCCTGCCGATGGTGATATTCCATGAACTGACCAAGAATTGGCTGTTGGGGGAGTTCTCCTGTAAAATCATCCCCTATATTGAGGTAATGTCCACAAGCTATTGTGTTACTTGAGTGAGTGTTATGATTGGGTGTTGAAGTGGGGTCCCTGTTCAAAGTCTGCTGTCAATAACTCTCTCTTCCTTGTCACATCTACATTCTATTCTGCTTGGTATGTACTTCATACAACATGCAATGATCTGTGCGCAATTGTGTGCACAGCCTGGTCTCATAAACTAGACATAACATAGTAAATGTAAATCTGACACAGCATTTAGAATATGTTACATTTGGTATGGTTACATAAAACAGAAGGTTGCTTAAGGTAAAAAATAAAGGAGGGTGATTGGTTGGGCGTATAAGGCGAAGATCTAGCAACCCAAAGGTTGCGTGTTCAAATCTTATCATGGACAATTTGAGCTAATTAGCTACTTTTAACCACTTACTACATTTGAGCTACTTTGCAACTAGAATGTTAGCTAACCCTTCCCCTTCCCCTAACCGTAACACTTAACACAGGTAGCCTAGCGGTTAAGAGCGTTGGGCCAGTAACCGAAAGGTTGCTGCTTCGAATTCCTGAGCCAACTAGGTGAAAAATCTGTCGATGTGCCCTTGAGCAAGGCACTTCATCCTAATTGCTCCTGTAAGTCGCTCTGAATAAGAGTGTCTGCTAAATGACAAAACATTTTAAAACACTTTTAGCTAACCCTAACCTTAACCCTTTAACCTAGCTCTTAACCCTAACCCCTAGCCTACCTAACATTAGCCATCTAGCTAACGTTAGCATTAGCCACCTAGCTAACGTTAGCCACAACCAATTAGAATTCGTAACATATCATATGTTCATAAATTCGTAACATATTGTACATTTTGCAAATTCGTAACACATCAAATAAATTGTAATTCGTAACATACCATAAAAAATTGATGATGGACATCTACAAATTAATACATACCGTACCAAACGTATCATATCATACTAAATGGAGTGTTCGGATTTACGTACAGAACAATACAAAATGCTCTGAGACCAGGTTGGTGTGCAGTGTACCAGGTTTAGATTACTTGTTCTCCAATGTCACCTCAACCTGTTGTTTCAAACTCTTAGTTGAGCTGTCACTGGCTAGATACAGAAGTAAATGCCCCTAAAGCAACTTATGCTCAGAGATAGGGTTACAGTCCTACTTTCCCTACAGTCTAAACAATGAGGCAGTGGTCTGAAACTCACTAGGCCTCAGTAATTACTGCACAGACCCACACCTATTATTGCATCAGTTTACCATGTCTGTTTCAGCCGTAAGGCAGCTCTTTTGTCAGTCATCTATTGTAAAAGATACAATGGTCAAATTAGGTGATGAGGGATCACATAGACATTGTGCAGAGCCTCTAAAATAACATGTTTTACAGAGTTAAACAAATCTAAACACACAGTACAGTATATATATATTGTAGCCATAGCATAGGTAACTAAAGGGTCTGTATTAGCACACTTGTTACTACATACTGCATGTCACATGTGATTTGAATGCTGCAGGACGATATTATGAAGAGAAAAGTCTGTTATTGACCCTAGGATCTATTTAGACAGGGAACAGTTTGTACACAGTTTGTACACAGTTTACAGGCGTCATCGACAGGTCCTAGAGAGAAACTTTTGTTCCAATCCAGCACTAACATACCTGTTTCAAATAATCAACCAATCATGGTCTTTCATCTAGATCACAATAAGCTAAATCAGGTGTGTTAGTACTGGGCTGGAACAAAAGCCTACACACCCACTAGCTCTCCAGGATCGGAGTTGGAGAAGCCTGAGTAAGAGGATTCAATGAAGATGCATTGTGCCGCTTTCTACATTAAGGATTAATCTGGCAGCCCAGGAGTTCTGCTGATAGAACTGAGCCGCTTTTCTCACAGGATATCCACCTTTCAAAAAAACAACATTAGTTGGTTATATCACCTGCTGTCTAAATGGAACCCAGCCAGACGCAGGTGCAGCTAGGGACAACACCCTAGATCAAGGTTCCCCAACTGGCGGCCAGCATGCAGAATTTGGTCCGTGGGTGGTTTTATTTGCCTCCCCCCCCAGCTTTCTGAGCAAAATAATAATAAGGTTTTTTGTTTTTTTTGGGACATAAAATAATGTCAATACACCAGGAAATCAGCTCCAAGTGATTTTAATTTAAGAAATATGTTCCTAAGGATTCTCACACATAATAGAGAGACACGTGATAGTATACAAATGTAAGCAAGGTTTAAAACTGTTATGTTTTATTCAAACATTATATCTGTATGGGCTTCTTGCAGTCAATTTGTAGTCTACAAATTATTTGTAATTATGTTCCGGCCCCCTGACCATCCGCTCAAGAAAAACATCTGCCCTCGGCTGAATCTAGTTGATGATCCCTGCTCTAGATCTTATGCATTCCAAGAACTTGGAACACCTTATACAATTTGCAAAACAAACTGTGATTGAGGTCACAGCATTAAAACTATGCACCTCAACAACTATGCATTTTCTTGGTGAAAGTAGCTTTGTTTGGAATAAACGCAGATGTGAAGAGATTGGATGAGTATAATCAACACATTGACGGACCCACCTTGTCCTTGATAGGCTAGGTGCAATTTTCCCTATGGTTTACACCTATCCAATCCTTTCAGATCTCCACGAGTGCAAAACCCTAGGGCTGGGTGTACCTGTCTCTGTGTTTTATGCAGTCCAATCCTCTACTCTTCTACAGACCTCTTTGACTTAATCTCCTGCCTTTTACCAGTCAGTCTGTTCTCACAGTTGCGGAAATGTACTTCATGTAAGATGGATGAATGTTGCAAGGGTTCACTATCGTACTGTGGGTCCTGAGTGCCTTTCATGGGAAATGTGTGAATTATTTACCCGGAGAAGGAAGCACACTCCTTTTAGAAGAGGAAATCATCTAGATTAAAAAGCTTCTATGGGTAGCTAAATTCATCTGTCCGGGCGTACATATTGTACATAATGACAACAAGACAGATAAACCACCACACAAAGACCCAAACAATCCAAATGAGTGACGCTGTATAAAGTGTCTGTAAACTGCTTAGTGACAGTGTTTGTAAGTCCAATTCTATGCCAAACATTTAGATTTTACATTTTAGCAGACACTCTTATGGAGAAAGACTTACAGGAGCAATTAGGGTTAAGTGCCTTGCCCAAGGGCACATTGACAGATTTTTCACCTAGTCGGCCCGGGGATTCAAACCAGTAAACCTTTCGGTTACTGGCCCAATGGCCTTAACCGCTAGGCTACCTGTCGCCTTGTAGGCCATTTTAAAACCACAGTCCCAGACCTAGCACTTGAAGTCTCTTTGAGTTGCCTGCCTCCATGGTAAAAACATTGAATGGATAGCGGTAGCGGCATCCTAGTTATGCTAAGCGACTTGGTAATCAAGCATTTAATGGAGCGTAATTACAGAAACAGTGGGGACATTAATTCTAATGGCTCCTGTGGCAACTGAAGTACCTTCAGTCACATGAAAATGTGTCATTATGGACACAGAGGTGACAGAGGTTAGTTACACGAGGCCTGCCCGCCACTATTGACATACAGTAGCCCTGGGGGAAAGCTGTCATGTTGACGATGATGGCCAGTGGCAAGTGTTTGGCTGAAAGTGCTTAGTCTTGACAATACAGTGAAGCGACATGAAGCAACAACAAATGACCAAGACCCTCAGCTTAACGCTTTACACATGTGGGAATTGGCCTATATGGATAGGGCTAAATTGTAATGTTTCTTACAGAAGAAGGAGGAAATGCATAAGCATGGTAGGCGGCAGGTAGCTTAGTGGTTAAGAGCATTGTGCCAGTAACCGAAAGGTCGCTGGTTCTAATCCCCGAGCCGACTAGGTAAAAAATCTGTCGATGTGCCCTTGAGCAAGGCACTTAACCCTAATTGCACATGTAAGTCGCTCTGGATAAGAGCGTCAGCTAAAGGAAAAAAAAAATAAATAATAATAAAATAAAAAATTGGTAGCAATTGAAAGGGAACCGTTTGGAGATGATGGGAAAATTATTAGACCAAAGTTGAGGACACAAGACTGAATCCAAACATTCCACTGTTGATTTTATATGCCATTTACATTTATGGTACTTTTCACCGCATTTGTTGATAACGAAATCTGGAAATACTCTGTATACATTCAGTAACATGATAGGAATATTCCTGGAAAATGTGGGGTAGGTGCAACATAAGACAAATAAATGACAAGGATTTAAGTGAGAGGTCTAACGGGTGTCTCCAAGTGGCCACACACCTCTCCAAAGTGTGCACTGTTCCTAAGTAATTTCAATGATCTTTTATGACTCAAAGAAAAGTCTTCAACTATAAGGTGCTTTTCTTTAGCTCTCCTAGCTGTGCCGTTGAGGAACGAGCAAGCACACTTGTAGTTGTTTTGTTTTGAACACAGCGCTGCATCCCCGCCATCACACAATTACTGTTGTTGTTTACGCAATCCAAAAACACTCACTCACAATCATTTGAAAGCTTGTTATATTGCCAACATGACTAGTTAAGTTATAAACTATGATCGTACAGTGTTAGGCTTTCAGAAGGCAATTCAGAGAAACAGATCGTAATTTTGGTGGGCATACTGTAGAAAGGAGTCATGAGTGCATTCAGGTGCGTGTTCTGCAGAGAATTTTCTTCACAATAGACAAACAAAGGCTCATTCTGTTCAGAACAACCCAGGGTATGACGCCATGTCATCTTGTAACTGTACATTTAACATAGTGATCATAAACATTGACATGACATGAGTTTTATGACATGGAAATGTGAAGTGCACATTTGAACTTAGGGTGTCTGGCTTGCTTGTATGACATCAAAGCGGTATTTATTATAATCATCAACGTCTCAGCTTTCAAAGTACATAGAGCCCTCTTAATTTACAGCATTTCCCTCACTCAGACAATTTTTCTTTTTCACAACAGTTGACCAATTAGAGGGAGGGATGGGGTCAACTTCTTGTCACATAGGGGTGCTCAAATTAAGAACAGCTGTCAGTCAAAACCCATACAGCGCTGTGAATTGCACAGCCTGAGCTCTGACGTAATTTATAGCATTTTCCTGTACAGCCACTGCATTCCAATTGAAATGCTTATCAGTGCCCAAATCTGCAATTACATACAAATGGTGCTGTATGTGAAGTGCAACAGATCTCTCTCGTTCTCTCTCTCGCTCTCTCTCTCTGAGGCCAGAAGGACCAGACAGATCAAAGCCTGCCTCTGTACGTCTGACAGTACTCATGGCTTCTCTGGCTCAGGCACTGGCTCCTGTGTTTATAGCTTCCTCGGCCAAGGCCCCTAAGGAGGCAGTCACAATGATCAAGCCTAGCAACAAAACAACATAACACTACTACACGCTGTAGAAGACAACACTGAACTTAACACTCAATGTTAAATGCACATTTGTCTCTGAGTTCTGTGTGTATTAGCGTGTAAGATTTGGGTGAAAAAGCAACCCCATTTGCAGCATTTTTGTGGTTGTATTATGATAGCAAAAAATTTTGAGCATAGTGAAGTTCTGGGTGTAGGGATAGAGATATTGCATTGAGATATTAATCTCCATGCCTCATGGTCTGCAGTTTCTATTCATGTTATTTAATCATGAATATGAGCTGGCTCTCTTGCCAAGTCCATAACTCGATCAGGCTAAGAAATTAGAAAACAGCATACTGTAACCATCGAGGACTAGAATTGGGCTCCCTTGCGCACAGCACGATATACTGTGCACCTTCTTTATCACGTTACAAAGTCATCAATATTATAAGTTGTTGCTCTAAAAATAAATGTGAGTCTAAAGATCACCCTTTTGGCATCCACCTGTAGTCTCCCCACTCTTTAAAACAGTATCACTCATAACACATTACTCATGGCTACTTTCAAACATCTCAGTATGGGAAATTAGGATCTAGTGTGCGATGAAGGACGGAAAAATCTGTTTGTCATTTATTAAAACAAGTGTGGACCTTCGAGTTCTCTATTAACAGAGCTGTCAAAACATAACCTCTTTATGGATGACTTCTCTCCCTCTCTCTAAACCTGTTGATGTCTAGATTACTGTGCTGTACCATTGTCATTCGAAAATTGTTCCAAGCGGTCTTTAAAACACGGATGGTTTACAGTGGACACATTCTTTTGATCTTTTCAGAGAGCAACATGGCTCTGGGGCCTTGGTATTTTATCCAGACTTCCCAAGGTGCATTACAATAAGGAGAAGTATCTGGAGACTGGATACATTTTCTATACTTGTTTCTCAATCAATTGTTAATGTGGAGTAATAACACATCAACTGGATAGTATCTTACCTTCTCCTCCCTGATCTTTGTCCTTCCAGGTCGCCTCCCTCGGGGTTACCACCTTTACCTTGTGTGCCTTGTGCATCGACCGCTTCCGCGCTGCCAGCAACGTCCAGATGTACTACGAGATGATTGAGAACTGTGCCTCCACAGCCGCCAAGCTGGCCGTTATCTGGATCGGGGCTCTCCTATTGGCCCTGCCAGAGCTCCTGATTCGCCAGTTGGTCACTGAAGATGGCTCGCCTCCGGATGTGACGCCCTGCCAGCGCTGCGTGGTTCGTATCTCCACCGAGCTCCCCGACACGCTCTACATGCTGGGCCTGACCTATGATGGTGCTCGCCTCTGGTGGTACTTTGGCTGCTACTTCTGCCTGCCCACGCTGTTCACCATCGGCAGCTCCCTGGTGACCGCCCGTAAGATCCGTCAGGCCGAGCGGGCCTGTGTGCGCAGCAACAAGAAGCAGATCCACCTGGAGAGCCAGATGAACTGCACGGTTGTGGCGTTGGCCATCCTCTATGGCTTCTGCATCATCCCTGAGAACATCTGCAACATCGTCACCATCTACATGGCGGCAGGGGTGCCCAGACGGACCCTGGACATTCTCCACCTGGTCAGCCAGCTGGTGTTGTTCTGTAAGTCGGCGGTGACACCCGTCCTGCTGTTCTGCTTGTGCCAGCCCTTCAGCCGGGCCTTCCTGGACTGCTGCTGCTGCTGCTGTGATGAGTGTGGCCCGCCCAGGTCTTCCACCACCGCCACCACCAGCGAAGAGAACGAGCACGAGTGCAACCACCACCGACCTGGAGCTTTCGCCCTTCAGCACCATCCACAGGGAGGCATCCTCCTCCTACACCACTGCAGGGACCCACTGCTAAGAAGTGTCAAAAGGTCATGACCTCCATCAGAAGTTACAACTGCCCTGTGAAGAGGTCAAGAGGTCGGACTGTAAACCTATTGGGCTGGTTTCCCACACCCAGATTAAATTTACTCCATTGAGAATGCTTGCTAGTCAGGGGATAGGCTTAATCTGAGTCTGGGAGACCCTTACAGTTAGGATTAGTAAATGTTTTATTCCCAACAATTTAGGAATTTAATCGATATTCTGGATAGAGGACACACCCTATTCTAAATGTTCACTTAATTTCCTGAATTGACTTTGAATTTAATTGACGTAAACTCTGGTGAACATATGTGTCTCGGTTTACTCAAGGGCAGAGTTGTGTATACATGATAAACTGTCCATTTGTTTACAGAAACCATACGGAAAGAAATACATATGAATAGTTCAAGTCAACATTTTGAATTTATAGCAATTTGTTTATTAACTCACCAGTATTTTCTCTTTTTGAATTTGCACTGAAATCTTACCATAATTATGATAAAAATGTTGGGTTATCATGTTTAAAAATATACATATATTATGTTGTCTCTTTCTGCTTCCAGAGTGTCTCAAATGGAAAACAATATATTGAAAATGGCTGGTCGTAGTGTATTGTGTTTTGCTGATAATGGTGATTCTTGTGAATCAGTTCAAAGTTATGCCTAGCTCCCTTGCTATGTAAGTATATTATTCAGTCTGTATTTGATAGCAGAAAACTGTACGATACACTTCAGTCAGTCAGTAAACTTACTGGAGTGGTGTTTTTTTTTTTTATCTCACTTTAATAAATAAATAAATAAATAGTTTGACTGAATGTTTCTTTGACAAAATGTAAATTCTTCGGTACCTTCATATAAAGAATAAACAACCCACTTACTATTTAGGGATTCATATACCCTCTATCAAAACTGTTAACCATTATTTATAATTCTACTTGATCGTTTTGTCTTGGGGAACGAAACATATGTGATAATATTCTCCAGAGGAGAGTGGTTTCCTGATAATGGCCGGTTAGCTCTCAGAGAGGGGGAGCTGCTCATCTGGCCACCGTGACATCATCACTATCCACTCCCCAGAGTACACACAGCAGCCCTTGTTTCCCTACCCGTCGCCAAGGCAACCTCAGGAATCTACTTCTCAGCTGTCTCTGTAACTTCATGGTCGGCCGAGTGGCAGGGAGTCAGGTCAGATGCTAGGATGGATGGAGAGAAGGGTTCACGGCATTGGACTTAACTAGGGTATGGTGCAAACTCATGCATTTCTATGAAGATGGTCTGTTATGGTCGGTTGTTGGCTCCCTAGAGCTCATTTCAGACGTAAGCCTCACTAACTGCAAACCAGAATGTTTCTGGCTGGTTCAGTTCAGCCTTCCTTGTATATTTATCCCTTTTCTGAGGCAGTGGACATTTTTTTCCTTTGAAAACAGTTTCCTAGGATCATGTGAAGATTGAACATTTCTGGAACATGCTCGACTTGAATGTTAAGCTTAAAAAAAAAATATGGTCAAGAAACATCTGTGCTGATAGGAATGGCATAGATGGACAAAATCATATATATATACAGATGAAGTCGGAAGTTTACATACACTTAGGTAGGAGTCATTAAAACTCGTTTTTCAACCACTCCACAAATTTCTTGTTAACAAACTATAGTTTTGGCAAGTCGGTTAGGACATCTACTTTGTGCATGACACAAGTAAGTTTTCCAACAATTGTTTACAGACAGATTATTTCACTTATAATTCACTGTATCACAATTCCAGTGGGTCAGAAGTTTACATACACTAAGTTGACTGTGCCTTTAAACAGCTTGGAAAACTCCAGAAAATTATGTCATGGCTTTAGAAGCTTCTGATAGGCTAATTGACATCATTTGAGTCAATTGGAGGTGTACCTGTGGATGTATTTCAAGACCTACCTTCAAATGCAGTGCCTCATTGCTTGACATCATGGGAAAATCTAAAGAAATCAGCCAAGACCTCAGAAAAAGAATTGTAGACCTCCACAAGTCTGGTTCATCCTTGGGAGCAATTTCCAAATGCCTGAAGGTACCACCTTCATCTGTACAAACATTAGTACGCAAGTATAAACACCATGGGACCACGCAGCCATCATACCGCTCAGGAAGGTGACGCGTTCTATCTCCTAGAGATTAACGTACTTTGGTGTGAAAAGTGCAAATCAATCCCAGAACAACAGCAAAGGACCTTGTGAAGATGCTGGAGGAAACAGGTTCAAAAGTATCTACAGTGGGGGAAAAAAGTATTTAGTCAGCCACCAATTGTGCAAGTTCTCCCACTTAAAAAGATGAGAGAGGCCTGTAATTTTCATCATAGGTACACGTCAACTATGACAGACAAAATTAGAAAAAAAATCCAGAAAATCACATTGTAGGATTTTTAATGAATTTATTTGCATATTATGGTGGAAAATAAGTATTTGGTCAATAACACAAGTTTCTCAATACTTTGTTATATACCCTTTGTTGGCAATGACACAGGTCAAACGTTTTCTGTAAGTCTTCACAAGGTTTTCACACACTGTTGCTGGTATTTTGGCCCATTCCTCCATGCAGATCTCCTCTAGAGCAGTGATGTTTTGGGACTGTCGCTGGGCAACACAGACCTTCAACTCCCTCCAAAGATTTTCTATGGGGTTGAGATCTGGAGAATGGCTAGGCCACTCCAGGACCTTGAAATGCTTCTTACGAAGCCACTCCTTCGTTGCCCGGGCGGTGTGTTTGGGATCATTGTCATGCTGAAAGACCCAGCCACGTTTCATCTTCAATGCCCTTGCTGATGGAAGGAGGTTTTCACTCAAAATCTCACAATACATGGCCCCATTCATTCTTTCCTTTACACGGATCAGTCATCCTGGTCCCTTTGCAGAAAAACAGCCCCAAAGCATGATGTTTCCACCCCCATGCTTCACAGTAGGTATGGTGTTCTTTGGATGCAACTCAGCATTCTTTGTCCTCCAAACACGACGAGTTGAGTTTTTACCAAAAAGTTATATTTTGGTTTCATCTGACCATATGACATTCTCCCAATCCTCTTCTGGATCATCCAAATGCACTCTAGCAAACTTCAGACGGGCCTGGACATGTACTGGCTTAAGCAGGGGGACACGTCTTGCACTGCAGGATTTGAGTCCCTGGCGGCGTAGTGTGTTACTGATGGTAGGCTTTGTTGCTTTGGTCCCAGCTCTCTGCAGGTCATTCACTAGGTTCCCCCGTGTGGTTCTGGGATTTTTGCTCACCGTTCTTGTGATCATTTTGACCCCACGGGGTGAGATCTTGCGTGGAGCCCCAGATCGAGGGAGATTATTAGTGGTCTTTTATGTCTTCCATTTCCTAATAATTGCTCCCACAGTTGATTTCTTCAAACCAAGCTGCTTACCTATTGCAGATTCAGTCTTCCCAGCCTGGTGCAGGTCTACAATTTTGTTTCTGGTGTCCTTTGACAGCTCTTTGGTCTTGGCCATAGTGGAGTTTGGAGTGTGACTGTTTGAGGATGTGGACAGGTGTCTTTTATACTGATAACAAGTTCAAACAGGTGCCATTAATACAGGTAACGAGTGGAGGACAGAGGAGCCTCTTAAAGAAGAAGTTACAGGTCTGTGAGAGCCAGAAATCTTGCTTGTTTGTAGGTGACCAAATACTTATTTTCCACCATAAATTGCAGAGGAAAATAATTAAAAATCCTACAATGTGATTTTCTGGAATTTTTTTTCTCCAATTTGTCTGTCATAATTGATGTGTACCTATGATGAAAATTACAGGCCTCTCTCATCTTTTTAAGTGGGAGAACTTGCACAATTGGTAACTGACTAAATACTTTTTTTCCCCACTGTATATCCACAGTAAAACGAGTCCTATATCAACATAACCTGAAAGGTCGCTCAGCAAAGAAGAAGCCACTGGTCCACAACTGCCATAAAAAAGCCAGACTACGGTTTCCAACTGTACATGGGGACAAAGATCGTACTTTTTGGAGAAATGTCCTCTGGTCTGATTAAACAAAAATAGAACTGTTTGGCCATAATGACCATCATTAAGTTTGGAGGAAAAAGGGGGTTATTTACAAGCCAAAGAACACAATTCCAACCGTGAAGCACGTTGGTGGCAGCATCATGCTGTGGGGGTGCTTTGCTGCAGGAGAGACTGGTGCACTTCACAAAATAGATGGCATTATGAGGAAGGAAAATGATGTGGATATATTGAAGCAACATCTCAAGACATCAGTCAGGAAGTTAAAGCTTTGTCGCAAATGTGTCTTCCAAATGGACAATGACCCCAAGCATACTTCCTGACCTCAATCCTATAGAAAATGTGTGGGCGGAACTGAAAAAGCGTGTGCGAGCAAGGAGGCCTACAAACCTGACTCAGTTACACCAGCTCTGTCAGGAGGAATGGGCCAAAATTCAACCAACTTATTGTGGGAAGCTTGTGGAAGGCTACCCGAAATGTTTGACGCAAGATAAACAATTTAAAGGCAATGCTACCAAATACTAATTGACTGTATGTAAACTTCTGACCCACTGGGAATGTGATGAAAGAAATAAAAGCTTAAATAAATTATTCTCTCTATTATTATTCTGACATTTCACATTCTTAAAATAAAGTGGTGATCCTAACTGACCTAAGACAGGGAATTTTCACTAGGATTAAATGTCAGGATTTGTGAAAAGCTGAGTTTAAATGTATTTGGCTAACGTGTATGTAAACTTCCGACTTCAACTGTATGTCTTTTTTTATGATATCCAAATTGGTAGTTACAGTCTTGTCCCATCGCTGCAACTCCCGTACAGACTCGGGAGAGGAATGCATCCTCCAAAACACAACACCCGCCAAGCCGCACTGCTTCTTGACAAACTGCTCGCTTAACCCGGAAGCCAGCCACACCAATGTGTCGGAGGAAACACTGTACAGCTGGCGACTGAAGTCAGCGTGCATGTGCCCGGCCGCCACAAGAAGTCGCTAGAGCGCGATGGGACAAGGACATCCCAGCTGGCCAA